TTATTAAATTAGGTAATTCTTTCAGACCGTACTGTAATAATACGACGGTCAACTATTAAGTATTCAATTTTGTATTTTAATTGGAGTACTACCAATTGGTGGTTTCTCTTTATGTTGTGCATGCCATGTCACTTGTTTCATATTTATTTCTTTATTTCATATTCATTTAATACAGTAGTAAATTTCACTAATAAAAATTGAAAAAAAAAAAAACATTTAAATTTTGTATTTTAAAATGAAATTGATTTTTTTTCCTACGCCTGTTGACTTTGAATTTGTAAGTCATGAGTCTTCTTCAGCAGCTTGAGAATGTTATAGACGACTGTAGTGATCGTTTTGTTCTCTCTTCGTCGAGATATCCTGGGAGCACGTGGTTGGCTAACTGGACACAATCACATTCACTCCCTCTTTATCAGAATCTTTCCTGCAGGATATTGGTAGGCAATCTTTTGCTTCAATCTTCCACCCAGTTTTTTTATGGGATAGGGGAATTATCAACCCTATACCCAACCCCCAATCTGTAGGACCAGGAGCTAAGGTTTAAGACACAGGTGTCGCTCGTCACTCACCTCCCTGTGAATTTCAGGATGGGGACGTTACCGTCTCCTTGCGGGAATCAAACCCGCGTCGTACTGGTGTAAGTAGTCGATTAGCTGCATTTAATTATTTTATGTGTTATTAATTCTCGCAAACGGGATTTGAATACTTGATATAAAATTTTCCAGGCGTCTTAATTCGCTCGACCACCATTAAATTAAAAGTAAAGCATCTTTTTGATTTAGAAACTAACTTCATAAATTTAGAAAGGAAAGACGAGTGTATCTGCGATTTCTGAACATTCTGCAAACGGAAAAATTAAGTATTTTCCATTAAAAAATAAAAGTATTCAAGATGATCTTTCTGTAGATACTATATTTCTTAAATATAGCTTAGATATTCTATGTTTAATTAAGTAGTGGATTGGCAAAGCCCCGGCAAATAAAACGATAAAATACAATCCATTTCTTATTTTAGTAAACTTAAAGATAGGCTAGAAGAGGAATGGTTACTCCCGGTACCACATCCCCCAACAAAGGAGTAATCAATTCTACTTATGCCCTAGCTCTTAAACTCTACTTCCAAATATTTCGGATTTTAGTTCCCTTGAGTTAGCACCCTAATGCGTCCCACCAATACATTTAAAGAATCTGGCAATGGAAAATGCTTTGCGGAAACATTTTAAGAGTTAATGAAGATTTTTTTCTTTTACTGTGAGAAATACATGTATAAACATTCAAATGAAATACCATTGTACACAAACAAGGAGAAAATAAATAAATTAATAAAAAAAATTCTAACCGTCTTAGTTAAGTATATTAGTGGATTATTCAGCTAACCAATGCAAATGACCACCAGCATTTATCAAGTCAAGAGTTTCGTCATATTTTATTCTAATTGAGATGTTGGGAAAATAGAATAAACAAATTTCAACATCTTGACTTCAATTCTGTCTAAGCCATGACTATTCCAAATTCCAATCGATTGCGTTTGTTTATTATTAAGTAACATTAAAATTAAAAAAAAAAAAACATCAAAATTAAGTAACACTTAAAAAAATCCGCTCTACTTTGAATAGAAATTATTTTCTGGCAATATTTGGCTATTATAATTTTTTTAAAGTGTTTTTTAAACAGAGCTAAAGCATAAGCTTACAGATAATAAATCATTAAGACTATTAAAATTACAAAAATTCTATTTACTGTATCGACGGTAAGCAATAAAAATCTAGTTACTCCATCTGCTTTTATAAATCTCACACAGTCTCTGAGCCTTTCAGTTTACAGAATGACTAACTCCAATTTCAACATTTTTGAGGAATATCATTTTAGTGATATTTCTAGTTTAAAAAGTTATATCTAAACAGACAGAGAGTAAGTTGATTCTAGGATAAAGGTATACATTTTTCCACTAGAAACATCACTAAAATTAATAATAAAGAATGTTGAAATTGGAGTTAAGCATTTTGTCAACCTAATTGCTCATATAAGCCTACAGAGGTTTGAAAGTATATCTGAATATTTAGCCTATAAATGATTATGGATTGTAGGACTATTTGTTATTAAACTGTTATTTCTCATTGTAAAGTTTACTAAAACGTATTTTCATTGCTTGCCATGGATAGGTCAAAAGTTCTCACACTAATTGTAAGTGGATAATGTTGGGGTTTTCACAAAGGGAAAATTCATCAAATTATTCACTAATTTAATTTTCTGAAAGGTTACCTAATGATTTTTTGGAATAAACGGCCGATAGGTACTTAATTATTTAAATATATCTTATCTGGAGTTATTAAACTATAGTAAATGTATTTGAGGTTATAAACATATCCATGCTTTTCTTTCAAATTCTATATTTATATTTCACTTCTTCTTTCACACAAGTACAATGAAATAGTATTTTAAACAATGAGATTGGCTTGATTCGTTGGATTTTAAGTTGTTTTTTTTCAAACTTAGAAAAACATTTAAAAGTTTACACATAGTAAGAAAATTTCATTAATTTCCTTGAAAACATGTGATGAATTTTTTTCTAAAATCTCCCACTTTCCAACAATATTTTATACGTATACTTTCTGACTGTTATTTTCGGAGATTCATTTTCAACCTGGATAAGCATTTTTCCTATTTTCTGCAGTTTCCAATTATCATATTCTTTCAAACTTCATATTTAGCCATTCGTTGTAGTTACTGTCAATAAAAGAGAGCTATTTTTTTTTTAATAAACCATATTAATGATATTTTAGGAGGAAGACGTATACGAACATTGGTCATTTAAGCCTTGTAAAGTGGCATCAATGGGGATAAGACCTAAATGATATTAAAGACCACTTAATTCTACAATACTTCACCATGTTTTATCAAAATCATTAGAGCTGTTTTTGAGAAAATTGTAAAAATTCGTTTCACCGTTGATATAAAGTAGCACTTCCGGTTAGCCAATTTGAAGGAAAAAATTGCTGTAACATCTAAGGCATATACCTACCCTAAACACGTAATATCAGTTTCGTACGACTTTTCATTTTTGAGCTAGTCTGTTCATATACATACACACACAAACCATTTTGAGGAACTTGGTTATTTGGACTTAGGAGACCTCAATACATGTATTTCCGATGAAAACTCAGATTCGAAAATTTTCACGATCGCAATACTTACCCTTACTATATATTTCATATATAGGTAAGTGAAAGTAATACCCTTACTATATATTTCATATATAGTTAAGTGAAAGTAATACCCTTACTATATATTTCATATATAGGTATGTGAAAGTAATACCCTTACTATATATTTCATATATAGGTAAGTAAAAGCAAACAATTAAAACTATAAGTGAGACATTTAATTCATTGTAAATAAAGTTTCGTGATAGAGAGCAGATAAAGTTTTCGTCATATTTCGCTATTATTGTGCAATCATTTACGAATTTTCATCTACTAAAAAAACACTTATCCTATTCCCTAATAGGTATCCAATTTATCCATCCCTCCAATTTATCAATCTTGCAATACTACGAAAGGATTTTGCTTAAACTTTTATAATATGAATTTCGGGCTTTAGGAATCGACCACTTAAGTAAACCTTTCCCCAAGAAAAATGATATTTTGTTCAAATACCAAGCATACCATTGCGAAACATATCGGAAAAGAAAGAGAAAACCGTTTTTAAATAAAACAAAACTAAATAAATTATTCTGTGGCATTCTATGAATTATACATATAAACTATCCATCACTATTCCATTTTTAATTTTATTAAAAACAATTTAAATATTTTAGTAAAAATGAAGAGACAATAAAATGAACTTTGGACGATTTAAAGCCGAAGGAGTCTTTTGTTTTTATATAAAACTTTTGATCTTCTATAAAACATAAGATTATAAATTTATTGTCATATATTTATATCTCTGCCTGGCAGGATCTTCCGGTTCACTTGACCTTTTATTTTTACTTCTTAATTCTATTCATATTGCCGTTTGTTTGATAAAGTAGTAAACTTACTGTGAAGCATTAGCGGATCCAGGATTTAATTTTGGGGGGGCTTCAGCCCGAAGGATTTTTTTTTCATATATATAACGATAATGAATTTAAAAAAAAAAAGAAACTAACTACCCATATGACATGGTGTCTTAGTGATTCTTGAAGTCCTATTAAATGTAATTACATGAACAATAACACTTTAAGAGATAGTTTTTAATATTTTTTTCTATAAAATATTGTTATATTTTACCATTTTGGGGACTTCAGCCCGAAAGTCCCCCCCGTAAATCCGCCTGTGCTGTGAAGTACACGGCAACATAATTTATATATATTTTTTAAATTCGTATAAGTTAATTAAATAATTTCCAAACATGGATAGATATTTAGGAACATATATGCTTACGGTAGAAATTGGTTGATTATGGGTTATAATTAATAACAAATTTATTATCATTAAACTGTCGATTTAAAGTTTTGTTTAATTCATCCATAATAAAGAAAATAGATTTTTTTTTTCCACCACCCTAACCACCCCTTTCGTCGCCCCAAGACTTCCACTGAAGCACAGGCGGATTTACGGGGGGGGGGCTTTCGGGCTGAAGCCCCTCCCCCCAAAATGGTAAAATGTAACCATGTTTTATGCTAAAAAATATTTAAAAATTATGTCTTAAAGTATTATAGCTAATTTAATAGGACTTCAAGAATCACTTAAACACCATTTCATATAGGTAAGTATCTTTCTGCTTTTTTTTTTTTTTTTTTGTAATTATGGATATATATATATATATATATATATATATATATATATATATATATATATATATATATATATATGAAAAAAAAGCTTTCGGGCTGAAGCCCCCCCCCCAAAAATTAAATCCTGGATCCGCTAATGCATTGAAGTTCAATACTGGGCCTTGAAAAAATTTATTATTCAAGAAATCTAATGTATATCAGGCACGATAAAGGATAAATTCAGTTCAGTCAAAGAGGGGAAGTTAGGTAATAGGGGAGCCCCCCACCATCCAACTTCTACGTGACGTTTGACTCACCAGCACCGACCGGTTAGATATCATTTGCAGCCGGCAGCCTTTCCAACTCGAATCAGCTCTCTCAAAAGCTAGTAAGTACAGGTTCTGAGGTTTTGCTGCTTAAATATTGGTTCTTGGATTAATCCCATTTTAAATGCTGTTTTTATCTTATTAATGTTGACGAGTAAAAACTTACATCTCGAACATTTTGACAAGACCGAAATAGCTCAAGGTCACTTAACATTTGACTTGATCTTCATATATGAACGTTCATATCCTATATTCATTCAGTTTTAATTATTTTGTCCCGTATTTGTTAGATTCCGTTACATTTTTATGAGGTGCCCATTATAGGGCGTGTCCAGCGATCCACTCTCCTGATTCAGGAATAGGTATTGTAATCTTTCACAATACTATTAATTGGCCCAATATTAATTTTGAATGGAGGTTAATGGACGGTTATACAAGTATATCATTAATCACTCACTGTTTTCAGTTATTAAGTTTCAATAGCATCATAGTTCATGAAAAATAACCACTTCAGTAGGGTTTTATTTTCTCTTAATTTAATAAATAATTATTATTCCCTGTAATCCATAAATTTTTTTTTTTTTTAATGTCATAATTAAACCATTTTAGTAGTGCTCAACTTTATTGTGTAGTATTAATAAGATAGTTTAGTGTTTTATACAGGCCCACCAATATTTCCTATTGTTAAGTTGTTTATAGTTTACAAAAGCAGTTTTATTGATCCATAGTATTAAGTTATTTTTTAAAATTAAGTCAGATTTAATCAAAATTTGTTTATTGTACCTAATTAGAAGTTCATACAATATCTTTTTCTAATCCTTGCTCTGTAATAATCAGTTCATATTTAGACTTATACATTTTTTTTTTCAGGTAAATATGTCTAAAATTGGTATTAATGGATTTGGAAGAATTGGGCGTCTTGTTCTTCGTAATGCTGTCGATAGTGGTGCCCAGGTATTTTACATTATTTATTTATCAACTACTTTCCTAAATTTTAAGTACGTAGTTTTATTTTCCATCCAAGTTTATTCTTATTTATTATTTGTAGTTGCTGAAGAATTTGAAACTTCCATTGAAGTCTTATACTATATATTTTTAGGGCTCTTGATCCCTTCTTTAGAAAAGAAATGAATAAAATGTACACTTACATCCATTCATGCATTTATGTTTTAAAAAGTAAAAGCTATATCATGTTGGTTCATAACCACAACCTCTGACTTTTGAAACATAGGTTCTTTAAACGTAGATATTACCAATTTTAACATTAATCGTTTCCCAACTTATCACTTTTATCCAAATAACTCATTTAATAAAAAACATACTTTGTTAAAACTTGTATTTGTTGTTATTAAAATAGTGATAAACATAATTATATAATATGCCTAGGAATGAGATTGGATTCGACAAATAAAAAAAATTTAAGAGGGAGTCCTCGAACTGGGGAAAGTTTAGGGACCCCTATCTTAGAATGTAAATATTTGTCAGATATATAAGTGAGAAATAAATTTAGCTCACAGAGGGGAGGGGGGGCGTTTTTGGGATGAAGCCCCCTTCTTCCCCAAAATGGTAAAATATAACCACGTTTTATGGAAAAAAAATTATCTCTTTAAAGTATTATTGTTCGTGTAATTACATTTAAAAGGACTTAATGGATCATTTAAACACCTTTTCATATAGATAGTTTCTTGTTTTCCAAAGTAATTATCGTCATTTTTATGAAAAAAAAACTTTCGGGCTGAAGCCCTCCCAAAATTAAATCCTGGATCCGCTAGTGATTTAGCTTCATATAATTGATGCACCATATGCCTTAATATTTTGAACTAAAATACTGTCTAAAAATATATTAATGTAAAACATTATTTGTCCCATAATTTATTAAGGCAGTTCTTAAAAATATATAGTTGATATGGATTCCGATTTACTGTCCTTTTTTTAAATTTTTTGAACAATGTAATGTGGTAATCCCTTCTATCTTAATTGACTGCTAAAACATATTTTGTATTCTAAATTAATCTTCTAACATTGTATTAAAGTTTTCTTTTGATTTTTTTTTTAACTGATTAAACTTATAACAACTGCAAAGTCAATATGCCATATGCCTTCTAAAGCCTTATATATATATATATATATATATATATATATATATATATATATATATATATATATAGTATATATATATATACTTATTTATGTATAAGACTTATTTCACCACAGAACTACCTCCCTTTTTTATATTATTGTATATCCATATATGTGCCTACCTCTCTTTCTAACGGTGCCTATCCATCTCTCTTGAGCTTTAATTATTTAACATAATTCACTTTTGATGTTTTTGGATTTGAAATTGTGGTTTGTGCCTCAAATTCAGGTCCATGTGTTGCAATTATTGGTTCATAAACTTGAAAAAAATTTTGACATTAGTCAAATGTATTAAGAGAATTTATTTCAATATTAGAGTTTTATTTCATATTTTTAGACTCGGTATCTTTACCAACCATTCAGATCCTTGTGAAACATACTCAGATCATCTCAAATACTAAGCACTAATCAGTCCTGCCCACCATAGTTTATTTTGATTATATCTTAAAATTTACAATTTAAGTAAATCATACAAATTATTAGTTTTTTATTTAGCATCCATTTAAAAACACAATAACTACATAAAGATTTGCACAATGTTTGAATTTATTAAATGATTTATGTAAGTTGATATGATGAGCTACCCTAGGGTCTTCTTGGCCTTTGGGACAGTGTTGGATTCAGTGTGGCCCTTTGATCTAAAAATATAGCAGAACTCTAGTGTATATTAAGAAAAAATGTTCAAAAGGAAAAAAAATCTTCTTAGATACATTATATGAGTAAAATTTATTTATTGAACATTGTATTGTCACTGGTATAAAAGATGAATGTAACAGTATTGATCTCAAAGCTTTTGTTATTCGTATATCAATGGACTTAGATTAATGATTGATGATTTTATTTATTATTATATTTGGAATAAAAGAGAAATAAATCAATCAGGATCACTTGTATACTTGACATCTCAAGAAAGGCTCAGATCAATTTTTAAACTTAGATTCTTGACCTAATTTTCTAGGTAGTTGCTGTTAATGACCCGTTCATTAATGTGGAATATATGGTCTACCTTTTTAAATATGATTCCACACATGGACGTTTCAAGGGAAGTGTCTCATATTCTGGACAAAACCTTGTTGTGAATGGTGAGAAATAAGCTTTTAATTTATTTGTATTTATATATTTCCTTAAATTATTAAAAAAAAAAAAAAATCTGAAATAAAATTCTAATTTATTTCTGTAATATATCAACTACAATTTTTTGCTTTTTACGACTCAGGTTTTATTCTCTTCATTATGACTAGTATTTGTATTCGTTTCTATCACTTTTTCATTTTTATGACTCATTTGAAATAACCTCATAAGTCAGAAACTTAACTCAGGTTCACTGGGTTTGAATGAGTGCTTATTTTTAAAAGGAATATGATGCAATTTAAAAAAAAAAAAGAAAAAAGATACTGCAAACAAAAGAATAATTTAATTGGATCTCTGATGAAACAGTGATAGCTACATTTATTCTTGTCAGGCTTGGGCTCTCTATTCAGTTAACGAAATCTGAATATATTGAAATTTTTTTATCGATATAACTGCCTTTTTGTTTACCTTTTTGTCAAAAGCAGAAATATTTTTAAATTTACACCTATTTCATCTTTCATTAAATCTTGTTATTATTTCTTCAGTATACATTAAATAAATACACACAATACTTATGACAAAAAGTGTGTGTCTCGTAAAAATGAGACCAGGTTACAAAGACCATCGCATTTTTTTTATCTAATTGATTAATCAAAGTGAAATTTTTTCCACTATCCTCTAGAATCAGTAATGAAGAGAATAAAACGTTGTTTTAGGGCCTATGGTACTTCTTATCCTTACTGCAGCCAAATTCTTTATGACGGTAAAATATATTTTTTATTTATAGGAAAAGAAATCCGTGTCTTCCAGGAAAGAGACCCAGCTAGCATTCCATGGGGTGAAGCCGGTGCCGAATATGTTGTTGAAGCTACTGGAGTTTTCACAACTGTTGAGAAGTGCAAGGTTTGTCATTTTAAAATATACTATTTATACAAAACTGTAGTAAATTAAAAAACTTTTAATTATAAATTTTAAATTGTTTGTTTAGCCTCATTTGAAGGGCGGTGCCAAGAAAGTTATTATTACTGCACCCTCGGCTGATGCTCCCATGTTCGTTTGTGGTGTTAACTTGGATGCATACAAGCCAGATATGGACATAGTTTCTAATGCATCTTGCACAACTAACTGCCTTGCTCCATTAGCCAAAGTTATCCATGATAATTTTGGAATTGAAGAAGGTCTCATGACAACCGTTCATGCTGTTACTGCCACTCAGAAAACAGTTGATGGCCCATCTGGAAAGGTAAGAAGTCTCTTTTTGAAAAAATAAGACTTCAGATTATAAGAAGTTTATTTAATTAAATATTTAAATTTTAAATTATTTTTCTTAATGAGTAAAGTCTCTGTTATATGAAAATCAAACCTGGTTTGTCCAAGAATATAATATATTATATAAAGCTACAATAATTTTTAGGGTATTGGATTTTAGCTCAATGCCTTTGATAATAATACATTTCATAATAACCATGAACTTTGAAGTCTTTAATTAGTTCAACGGAGAGGGAGGGGAATATGTAATTAAGGAACTAGAACTAACTGTTTACTGACTGATTCTATAAAAACTAATTGATTGATTGAAAAATAAAAATTAAACATTGCAGTTTTATATACTACAGAATCCTGGTTAATCGAATTACTACATTTTATTGACTTAATCTAATAGATAAGAAGGTTAATTTAAAAAAAAAATGTACAAAAAATCACTTATTAACAAGCAAATGTTTTATATACATTAAATCATAATATATAAAAATACATAAGAATGAATTTATGCATGTTTTTCATATGTATTGAATTTTCATTTGGAGAAAAATCAGTAATTTTAATCTGTTTTTTATTAAACATTTCTTTTCTTCCCTCAGCCGGTTTTTTGCATGAACTATTAATAAATTGCTTCATCTTCGTCTTTTATTGTAGAGTTCTTCATTGTTTTTCTGAGGACACGATGTTTAGGCCGACGATGATATGAAGCCAGAAATGTCTTTTTCCTTTAAATTTTCAGGAACAGTTTGCTCACCTATTCCTAATTCAGTGGACAATTTGTTTAACACTTTCACCTTTTTCTACTTGGTTTATAACGGTTAATTTCTGTTCAAGCATTAAAAATTACACTTTTTTTTTTTTGAGTTCCAATTAAATGGATGGATACTAAACCATAACTCGGTCAATAATTTTGTTTTGTTGGCAAACATGCCAGTAGGATTTTCAAAGAAAGACTTGAAAACATAACCGTTCCTAGAATATGCATTGGCCCAGTAGTTACCAGACATCTCTCATACGCTACCACATTTCCATGTTTTTCCATTCATTGTTTTATTTCTTTATTTTTAAGAACTATACATAATTAACAATTATGTGATTGTTAAAAAAATATATTGTGTAAAAGTTATAAAACATCTTATTAAAAGAAAATAATTGGTCCTTCGGAACCCAGGATAATGGAGGTCCTACTGTAGTTAGTTTTTTTTATCTTATTCTTTTAAATAAGAACCTTCTTATAAGTTTATAAATATAATATTTCAGTTGTGGAGAGATGGAAGAGGTGCTGCTCAGAATATAATTCCAGCATCTACTGGTGCAGCTAAGGCTGTCGGCAAAGTCATTCCGTCCCTAAATGGTAAACTGACTGGCATGGCTTTTAGAGTTCCTGTATCCAATGTTTCTGTTGTTGATTTAACCGCAAGGTGAGTTATCATCTTTTACCAAATTTATTGTTGTTCATGTGATCAACAAAAAAAACTCATTTCAAATTAAACAAAAAAATCTATGATCAAGGATGAGTACATTATTGGTTGTGCCATTTTATCAGATTGCAGAAGGATGCTACTTATGAAGAAATTAAAAAGAAAATTAAGGAAGCTTCAGAAGGTCCCCTAAAAGGAATTTTGGCATATACTGACGAACAGGTTGTCTCTTCCGATTTCATCGGCAATACTGCTTCATCTACTTTCGATGCTGAGGCTGGTATCCAACTGAACAACAAATTTGTAAAGCTCATCTCATGGTAAGTCATAAATATAATTTATTTCTATAAATATTGGGTTTATGTATTCATCTCTCTTTGACCACTAATCATAATCCCACTGTTAACTTAATAACATAAAAGTGGGCCCTCCATGAGTTTTTGTGCAGTTTTCATAATCTCCAGTGTTAATTAATATCTAATTATATAGACTACAGTAATACGAAAATCAAAAGATCTATGCTTAAAAAAATAGAAGTACCGGTAAATATGAAATATTAAAAAATATACTGGCTACTCGAATTGCAGCCAAAAATGATAAAGAGGTTCCGTACTTATACTTTATAATTCAGAATGTACGTTTGTTAGCTAAAAAGTATTCAATAAAATTAAAAAGTATAAAAAATACTTTTATCATAAATACTTAACTTTATATCATAAGCAAAATGTCGTCATTGACAATTATATGTACTTACTGTCTCTCTACTTGTAATTAGAAAAGGAACATAAAATGTATTTTAAACTAGCTATTAGATTTTTTTTTATCCAGGTTTCACTGGACACTCTAATACTAGTAATTATTACTTATTGATAAAATTATTATAGAGCATTTCAATGCTGTGTTGTGTTTATACAAGCACTTACCAACTAACACTGTGAACAAAGCATTTTATGTTTGATAAATTATACAGTAGATCATATTATTGTTTACATATTTTGGTTAAATTATCTGATTGGTTAAATGAACTGCAGATTGATTTCTTCCAATTAAAAACAGAAGATAATTATTACTTTATTTTAGATTTAGACTGATAAACTGTTATATTGTTTTAACGGCATTTTAGATATTAATGGGTTTAATATAAAGTTTTTATCTTAAAAAATGAGTATGCTTAACAGTGTTGAGAAGGTTCTGTCAGTTCTGTTTTGTATTAGCTTTTTATTTTTATTGAAATTTGCATCGAAACCTTTTATTAAAAGAGCAAAATGAAAAAAATACAAAGAAAGTAATTTTATCAATAAATCTTGTTGTTTTCAAAATATTTTAATTTAATTCACTTGCTCATTTTTTATTTATTTTTTTTCTGTATGAACTACCTAAGTATCTTGATTTGTTATTAATATTTTAAATGTTTACAGGTACGATAATGAATGTGGTTATTCCATGAGAGTCGTTGATCTTATCAGATACATGCAAACAAAGGACTAGTGAGAACCCATTATTCTGAATTTGTTTATTAGTGTTGTATTGAAACAGTGAATTACTGCACTCCAGAACTGAATCTTGTGTTAAATACTTTATATCATAAATTGAAAAACGTTCATTGATATATTTTCTTTAAAATAAAGTTTTGTATTTAAATTTGTACATTTATGTTGAAATAAATGAAATATTTCTTATACCTTCCTTTACCCTTTTTTTTCTTTCTTATTTTGTTCCTCCTCCACCCTCACCTTTTATTATTACTTTCACTTATCCATTTATATAATATATAGTAAGTGTAAGTGGGATCATAAAAATTTTCAAATCTGAGTTTTCACCCGATATATAGGTTTTGTGGTTACCTGAGACCAAGTCCCACAAAATGGTCTGTGTGTGTGTGTATGTATGTGAACAGCCTAACTCAAAAACGAAATGTCATACAAAACTGAAATTTTGTATTTGAGGGTTTGATAAGCCTGGGATGTTACAGCAAAAATTTTGTCAAAATTAGCAAACTGGAAGTGGTATTTTATGTGATCAATTTACCACTTTTTTATGGTTTTATCAATTAAGCAGTTTTAAATATAATTTAGTTTTTATTCTCATTGGTGTTCTGTAACAGGGCTTAAATGGCTAATTTTCAATATTAGCTTCCTCTAAAGTATCTTTATTATTATTTTTTTTAATTTGAAATATTGTAATTGACCTTTTCACATTAATCTTTGATATAAAAATTGTTGAATATAAAAGAATTTGATAATTAACCAATGGAGAAATAAGAGATCATAATGTATAATAGTTGTAATAGAGGTACTAAAGGAATATAAGCACACCCGAAAAATTAGAACAGGCTTCTATACATAACATGAGCTAAATATAATACGGACTCTGACAATATTACGTACATATTCATATGCAATTTTCTCAAATGGTATTATTTAATATTTAATTTTATAGATAATATAAAAATTAAAATTGTATTTATAAGGGTAATTAAACAAATAAAAATAGTCGCAATGCAATGTAAAAGAATACAGCATCTATAATGTTTAGATGATACTTTTTCCCTTTGTCTGAAAATATTTATTTCTGCTAAGAAGAGGATGATAAGTGAAAGTCTAGTGATGCGAACACCAGATTTTTAAAAAGTTATTTTATCACCTTAATAAGTTAGCAATAACTTTTTATGAATACAATAAGAAACAAATCTAATTAATGAAAATAACAAATTCATAATATTATGCATAATATGCTGTTTTTTAAAAAACACCTTATACTCCTGAGATTAAAAAAATTGAAACTAATGGTGGCAAAACATTGTCCTTTTTAATAATTTGTGTTGGATAGACTTGTTTTTGTAAAAGCTGAGTATGCCTGACTGCTATTTTGTTTTTTGTTATGTAAAAGATTAAGCCTTTTTAGACTTATTGTTTAAAAGTCTTAATGGCTTTGTAGAGGCTGAATGCCATTTCATTTTTTCTTAGCCTCACAAAACTATAAATCTGTAACAAAGATGAATTTCAAAAGTAGAACAAAAACAAAATGGTGGTCATACACAGCGCTCAACCTAAGGCTTACCAGCCACCAAAAGTGCAGCAGAGCTGAGGGAAGTAAGAGGTGGTCAGTAATGGATGGTGTAGTCCACTATACTCTGTTACTCTGGCACAGCTTAGTCAGTAACTTCCCTTGCATCTGTACCTTTCTTATATTCCGTATAAAGTTTTTAAAAAAGAGTATATAACTTACATAACATTTTAAAAAATTAGCAAAGTTGATCCTATCGGCGCTGAAAAAGAAAACTCGAATATTTTCACACAAACACATTTTTTTTTCATACACAATCGATTAAGAATTTGTCCACATTCATTGCAAATTTTACACTGAACCAAAATAAAATAATTTGAGAGGTTTCGCTGAGAAAACGAACGGAAAAAAAGGATGACATTGAGGAACAAAGCCGCACGGTTGTGTGCCAGTGGTGGAGCGTAGTGGAGTCAGCTTCCAAAACCTAAGCTCGATCGACCCAAAGCTGATCTGAGCTCTGGTATATGGTATCTCAAACATCTGGCCCTTGCTACGTCGTTCCACTTAGGCCGACCGGCCACCGATGCGCAGCGTAGCTGAGTCAGCTTCCTAAGCCGAACCAAAGGTTTTCAATTACAGGCCGGCCACCAGAAGCGGGGCTGGGCTATATATACTTTTTTTAAAAATTGTATACGGAATATAAGAAAGGTACCGATACAAGGCAAGTTGCTGACTGAGCTGAGCTCCGCTACGCAATCGTTTGCTGACCTACTACGCTCAACTCAGCTCAGCTGCACTTTCGGTGGCCGGCCACCGAAAGCGCAGCGTAGCTGAGTCAGCTTCCAAACCTAAGCTCGATCGACCCCAAAGCTGATTTTTGTTCCTTCGCCCCTCCCCAATCGAAATGGAAAGTTTTCTCCTATCCTTTGTTATAGATGATAAAATAATTACGAGTTCGCGTCCCGGTGCCGGGAAGGGCTTTAAACTCTAGCATTAACCCGTATCCCTAAATAGCGAGGAATGAGAGGAAAAAGAAAAAAGAAATTTTTTATTTCATTTTATTTTTGAATTCCTAGATTTCCACTCCCAAAGTAGTAATTCATTTGAAAGGTAATTTAATTTAAATAAAAATTGGATCGTTAACAATTATAATAAGAATCCACTTTGTACCCATGTTTTGGTTTATTATTTTAATATTGAATCTTAAATTGTATTCATATTGTAATTCCAATCGAATTTCGATCATTAGGCGACCTTAATTAATAAAAAACATCTGTTCGTCTGTTTTATGTATGAGCCTAAAAAATAATTTTATTCCAGCAGGATATATAATTTAAAAAACAATAATTTACAGATGAAAACATAGTGATCCCGATAAGCTTAAACCAGACTTTAATAAGTAATGTAAGTACCATGTAATATGAATTATCGTTAAATGTTAGTAAACTTTAATTCCCTGTCCTGTGGTATTGACATGAGCAGTCATGTTCCAACCGAGGAGTTGGGCTGAGGCACACAAAACTCTATCTGCGATCTCTTATCTCTACCGCTGCAGAAGATCGAGCTCTGAAGACTGTGATAGAGGAGTAGAGAGTAGCAAAACTAGATCGCCGGGAGATCTGCGTGACCGATCCTTAATTTCATTTGGATTGAAACATGACGCCATGGTCTTAAAGGTAATGCCTAGGAGCTTGGCACAAATGGCACCATTGCAATTTTTCAGGGCATATTTTTACGGGATATTGAATTTCTGGAACGATATCTGTTGTCGGAACTTACAAATCTGGGACAAAAACTTGGAACAGATTACAGTAAGTTTAATTATGATGAATAAAGTGTAATTTCTATTTTTACTTTCACATGTATCTTCCCTTTTTATAAAATGGGAGCTATAGGATTTCTTGGGTGGAAGGTGAGCATGACAAATATCTGGTAATGACAAAATCCTGCTATTCCTTGTAGATTAAAGGGTGTGAAAAATTTGTCTCTGAACATCAGGGGCGCCCTCATCCCTCCTCCCCTCCCAATGTCGATGAGGCAAGATTCTATTTCCCCACTTCCAAGATATTTTATTGCTCATATTTTCTTTAAAACAGAGCAAACGAAGGTAGAATTAGAAAATTCGTAGATCACATACAATACACTTCTGTTCCATGTTTTTTCCTTGTCCCTTAGTATAAAACTTTTCTTTCCGAAAATTCATAACCCCCTCCCCTTCAAAAATTCAAAAACCCGCCAATATATGCCTCCCTCAAGAATTTTGATGCCGCAACTTTCTGAATATCATCGTGGATATCGTATAACTCCGGGTATTGCCAGTGATTAGCTTACACCAAAACTCTCCTCTTTCACAGAGTTACAACCACCTAAAATGAGACATCAAAACTATATGATGTCTTTGAGGTTACCATTGTGTTTTTTTTAGATCTTGGGCCGCTTGAACCAGCCTTCTCCACTTATACCAATGGTACAGACTGTTTTGTCAAATTATTAACAATCGTCTAAAATTTCGTGAATAGATTCATCTTATCGTAACCCCGAAACTTTTTTATCAACAAAAATTATCAGAAACGTCTTCTCATTAAATCAATTAATTTAATGAAATACTGAAGCACTCATGAATACCCATATGCTTTCCTCTTAAATAGTAAGATAATTTGATTATCTGGCAGATAAAAAAGATGACCTACAAAAACATAGGGCCGTTTGAACTATATGACCTCGTTATTTTGACATGTTGGTGTGGAAATTTGTCACCAAATTATCTTAAGATTAAGTTAAAAACAGATTCATGAGGGCTTAGTACCTCATTGAGTGAAGGCTTAGAACCTCATTGAGTGAACAAATTTTACCAATCTCCATATTTAAAACGCTTCATTTCTGAGAATTTTCGTAAATAAACAATTAAGGTTTATGATATTATGAAGCCATTCACACAATTTTAGAGGGATATTAATAATTTGATAAAAGGGGTCAGTACCACGGACTGCTATCTTAGATTAATGCTTTCCACTTTTCTGCATACAGCTCTGCATCATATTCATTGATTCGATCTATCCTTCTGGTTTTTGGTTACTCGTTTAGTCTCTTGTTAACTTTTGTATCATTTAGTGTTGTGTAGAGACTTCCTGATCACAGAAGAATCTATAGGAGGGGGGAGGGAGGGAGAGTTTTCAGGATAAAGGCTCCCCTCCAAAAATGGTAAAATATTATAACCAAGTGTTACGAAAATAATATAAAAAAATTATCTCTAAAAGTAATATTCGTGTAATTACATTTAATATGATTTCAGAAATCATTTAAACACCATTTCATGTAAGGATTTAATTTCTTTGTTTTTCTTCCAAAGTAATTATCGTTATATATATTTTTAAAAAATCTTTCAGGCTGAAGCCTCCCTTAAAAAAAATTAAATCCTGGATCCGTAAAGCCGGGTTTACGGTTTCCCCTACCATTTTTCATCCGTTCACCCGACGGTTTGAACCGATGGTAAAAACCGAGCGTGTAAGCCCACCTTAAGTGTTTCTGATGGATTGCTTCGAACTACATACTCCACTCATCTCAACTTCCTTGCTTTCACTTCGTAAGATAAAGATGGTTTTTGTAAATAGCTTTTTGTAGACACTTCTTTTTCATGCACTAGTATTGCAATCTCATACAGGTATGTTTCAGTTCGTTGAAAAATATGA